TATACCCTTAGATTACACGTCAAACGTTTTCTCATCCGTCCTTTTTGTTCTTGTTTTTACATTGTTAAATTTATTTTCCTTCTCTTTGTAGAAGGACTTTGTTTTAATTTATGTATATCTTTTAAGTAACATTTTATTTTTTACGTCAAACTGTTTCATTAAACTGGCCTTTGTCTCTTTTTTTTATTTATTTTTCGTTTATCTTGTTAAATTTGTTTTGTGTACTTGTTTAAGATTAGTTTATCCTGGCAATTCCTTATTTTTGTTTTTTCATTTTTTCTTTTAAAAAAGTTATTTTTAAGAGTAATCAAAAATGGACGACAAACATCGGGCGATTAAATAAGACCTGCTCGGGTTGAATAAGAATGAACTCTCCTCCGATAAAAAAGACTCAACCTCAATTAGCAGTGGCTCATGAGAATTTATCCATTACCAAAATTAATGAAGACGAAATTGAGCCGTAAAGAGTCATAAGTGGCAAGGGTTACTTCATATGGGACGTAATCTTGTCGTCGCCTGCCGACTGTGTGGAAGCATTGAGTCGGGATCTGATACCGAAAGAACTCATATTAAGAATCGAATAAGTAGGCAGGAGAAGGACCAAAGTTTCAGTATTCGAGGTCCCTCCTCAGGTCTGGGGAGTACTTGGCTGCTTATCTGGTTCAGCTTGGTCAGATGCTCAGTGCTTCCTCCGACGATCTGAACGAGGGATGGAGCTTTGAATTAATGTTAGATGGCAAAGCCTTCATCTCCGATCCCAGTGTCTGGATGTAGAGGGCCGGAAAATGCGGGTCATCGTGACCGGCCGTAAACCAACCAGTTGGAAGTGGGAAGGGGCTGTTCATCTCTCCTCATCCTGCCCAGAAAAGAAGACATCTGGAGTTCTGGCGCCTGCCGACCCAAATCCCCCTTTATCCGAGTCTATTATGTTCGTCTCGCGACCAGTGCTGTAAACACCCAGTTGTGGGCCCATTTCACAGCCCCCAATTCCCTGAAAATCCTTTGCCCGCCACTTGTGAGGTTGTGAAGAAAAAGGGGAAATGGCAGGTCGTTGGTAAGACCAAAGAGAAACTTCAGACAACGGGATTTCTGTACCTGAAAGCCCACACGGGTAAAGGCACAAGCAGCCCCACTCCCTCTATCAGTTCGACCAGCTACGCCGAAAAGATTCGACAACAACAATTCAAATATGAGCCGAGTTTTGAGAAATTTGAAAGGTCGATCCATTGAAAGAATCCATAAAAGCAAAAAGATCACAAGAAATAACAGTGAAAAATATTAGCCATTCTTCCTCGGTACCATCTTCTCCATCACTCAAAAAGCAAATTATCGCTTCACCACTTATGAACAAATTAACTCCCAACCCAAACAAAATGACCATTCCAAAAGGGTTCCCACTACAAAATCCTCCGTAATGAGTAAACCTGTATACACTCCAATCTTCCTGTACTCATATGCACCCATGAACTAATCCAAGAAAAATGAAAAACCATCAACTGAGTCAAATAAATCTGAAAAAAAGATAAAATCCATTTTTGTATTACAACAAATGAATATTACTTTTCTCTATGGTACCTCGACTTTATCAAATTAAGTGCAGTACTAGATTGGCAACAAAGCTTCATCATTTTACAGTTGAAATGTCTAGGTGGAGCCGTAAGTCCTATGCTAATAATTTCTTCTATCGCACTTTTCGCTTGAGGAACTCTCTTCCCATTTCTTGCTTCCCAGTCAACTTCGATCTTCAAAAATATACATGCAATGTCAATTGTTATCTCCTGTCTTCTTAATTTTTGTTCTTTTATTGTTCTCTCTCCTTAATAGTGTTTTTTCTCATATTTTATAATACTCAGTGACCCCACTTTGCGTCTTAGCCGCTTTATTGCCTTACATGGAGCATCCAATATTATAAATAAATGGTCACTTTTGCATTCCATAATTTTCACCACTCTTGAACTAGGTTCGTTTAATAAGGAGGAAGTTCCACTCACCCAGCTTCTTTTTCAGAACTGTCATTTTGTGAAGCAGATTCCCAAGTGTATGCTTCTCCGACCACTATAGGGTCAAGCGATATCTATCCTAAATATCTTCATAACATGCATCACTCCCTACTTCCTTTCACTAACACTCTACCTTGTGGCTCTTGGGCATTGTATTGGGCGAATAATAGTAAAAAACGAAAGATTTATCTACTTTTTAATTTTTCTCTAACTTCATGCTATGGTCAACGCGACAATTAATTATAATCATTATTTTGCAGTATTCGGTGATCCTCATAGGGGATCAAGTAACAGCAAGTCGCCTGTACTTCAACACCCTCTCCACAACTCTACTGGATAATTTAAATTGTTCCTTCGGTTTCCAATCCTTCCAATCCAAAATTTGTCAAAATCATTTCAGCGTTGTTCCCGGTGCTCCTATAATGATCCCGGTCCTACAATTTTTATTTCTCTGGCAAACCCCAGTTATCATCTTATTTGATACTAACTATACCTGGTCTCATCGACTGCATATGGTATCCCGTCTCTGCATGGTGTCTCTACATGGTCAAATTTCAGTCATTTGCTTGATTCCCAGCGGATCGTTATTCCCACCCGATCATGTCTCGATACTCCTCCTT